AATGGCCGGATTTTGTAATCGAAATGACTGTAAAATTTTATATTGAAATTCATTTAATTAATATTTATACTATTTCTAGGAAACTACAAGCTGCATGGACATTTTTTGGCATTTTCTTCGCAAGTTTCCATCTGTGGTGTGTCCGTGTTTAAAACGAAGAAAGTAAACTGGTCGATATTTAATAAGGTATGTAAAGTATTGTGTGAATTTTAATTCTTACTTTACGTTTCTTTGATAAAGGTTAATTGATTTAGCACGTTATGTCAATCACTTCTTAAACACGTAAAGGTTCACACAAAATACCACTCAATTTAAATTAACACGACGTCATTATATTAGTATTTCAACGGAATCAAATGCTGCGACGTCCTGAAATAAACACTGTCCGATAAAGTTAATTGTCTTAGTGTTAGACGTTTAGAGTAAAAAATGGAAAGCAATATTACACTTAGAGAAAAGCTTCAGTCTTTCTGGTTTTCTACACTTATCAGTCATCCTCACACGAATGCCATTTACATTATGCAAAAAACGGGTGTTCCATTCTTACATATTTTTTACCTATTTGCACTAACAACCAGCAGTAACTTGCGGAATTCGATGCAATCGGCTCGCCGGTGTTTATTTGTATTTTAAAACGTCGATTAATGCCTCATATCAAGCTGTAACAGCGGCTTTATTCTGAATAATTAAGTGTAATTTACCATCTCGAAGTAATGAAGATTTTGTAGTAAATGCAGTTACAAACCACCGTAATAATTTCTTTGCTAAGACACTATCGTCACAGCTACTTTCCAGACACAAAAGTGTCTGGAATGCAGCTGTGACGACGCAACACTTTTCTTACGCCCACAGTCTCGTTTAGTAAATTTAGTAAATAAAAAATCTTGCCAAAGCAGAGGCTTCCAGTGGCTATTGTTCTTAAATAGGCTTTACTGTATTAATTATAGGAAATTTCGTACTTGAATAACAACTAATGCTACGATACAGTTTTTGTTAAGCTGTAAGAGTTTCCTGTGTAACCTATTCAGCAGATTTCATTTCCGAGAGTTATGAGGGTTTACTTTTAATTAGAATAGTAATAATACATACGTTCGAAAAAATTATAACATCGTGGAATGTTCTACATAAAAGTTCAATATACAGTATTTATAGCCGCACTCGGGTTTCCAAACCATCGAATTCCATTGATTCCATCAAAATAGAGTGACGTCTGCATACCAATATATATATATAAAGAGTATTCGATATCAATGTGACTGTGTGTCTATAAACTAGATTTTCCATAAAATGTTTATATTTCGATATAACACAAATAATGCAAAAAAAACTTCTATTATGAAATAAACCAACATTGCGAACACTAGGCCAATCCTTCGAAACTAATTTAAGATCCCAGGAATTTGGGAAACACAGATCGACGGATCTATGGGAAACATTGGCCAAGCAGAGGCCGTTTGTTCGTACCCTCAAATGCAGAACAATTCTTTGGATGTTATCAAAATTTGTTTATTATTTATACAAAAATGGTTATCAAATAAATTAAAAATATCAACAAGTTTTTGCATTTTAATTTTAAATAATAATGTTTTTAAGGAAAGAATGATAATATTAATATTTTTTCAGGAGAAACTGCGAAGAGGACCAATTATCTTTTTTTTTTAGCTTCTTATTCGTTGAATATTATGAAAATTTTTCCTTATTAGTCTGTTAGAAAAAATGTATTGTATAAGTTACGCTGTTAAATAAGAATTTATTAGAAAGTTGCTTGGTGCATTGAAAAAAAAAATTATTTGAAAAACCATCGACGAAATCGTATTTACAAAAGCATGTTACCTTTTCAACAAGAATTTCGTCACAGGAGAGTTCCGACGTTTTCATCAATCTGCACGCAACCCGCAGTTTATTTTGAAAGCGATCGAATGCTTTTAAAGTTTTGTCGACAGATTTTCTGTGGACTTTTAATAATTGTTATAACCGTAAAAGCGTAACTTGTGGAAGTGCTTGGCCTTTTTTCAATCTCTTCAAGACATTTTTACATTTCTTCTGGAACGATCGAGTTGATCCGCGTGTTGTTTAAATTCAAGAAAATTAACTTAAAATAAAAAAATGTTTAAAATTATCTTCTTGTGATATTTTGTGTTATAAAGTGTTTGTGCTTTAATTTATTTAGGCCGAATTGTTAAATTTATTGAATGTATTAAAGCGCAAATCGTTAACATTNAAAAAGAAATGATTTGAAAAACCATCGACGAAATCGTATTTATAATAGCATATGTTATCTTTTCAACAAAAATTTCGTCACAGGAGAGTTCCAACGTTTTCATAAATCTGCACGCAACCCGCAGTTCATTTCGGAAGCGATCGAATGCTTTTAAAGTTTTGTCGACAGATTTTCTGTGGACTTATAATAATTGTTATAACCGTAAAAGCGTAACTTGTGGAAGTGCTTGGCCTTGTTTTAATCTTTTCAAGACATTTTTACATTTCTTCTGGAACGATCGAGTTGATCCGCGTGTTGTTTACATAGTAAATTCAAGAAAATTAGCTTAAAACAAAAAAATGTTTAAAATTATCTTTGTGTGATGTTTTGTGTTATAAATTGTTTGTGCTTTAACTTATTTAGGCCGAATTGTTAAATTTATTGAACGTATTAAAGCGCAAATCGTTAACATTTATGTTTTATTCTTTGAATCAATAAAATTAATGTGCCTCGATGATGTGTATCGTTAAATTTCACAGAGACAATATTTAAATATTTTTATGTTTAAACCACAAAATATAAAGAAAAGTAGACACATAGCCTTATAATATAATCGAGATGGATTGATAATAACAAAAATAATAATAAGTGATTGTCGTCACCGTGATGCAAATGCAGAGAAGCATCATCGTCATAGGAGATATCTGTTTCGGTCTTTAGCTCTTCACTTATTGCACATACATTTAGCATCTTCTCTAGCATGAGTTTGAGCCTTTTTTCCGACTTGATTCTTCATTGCAGTGAGCGTGTTTATACGGGACGATCCGTCAATAAAAGAAATAATTAAACCGCTAGGTATATACTATAGAAAATTATCGTATGCTACATCCAACAATTTTGTTACTTTAACGTTTTGTGGGATTAGCAAAAGGACGATTCTCATCAGATGTTACAGAAGTCTCCAATGTGCAAGGCCGTTAAATTAAAAGACATTTTACTTGTGTTTCCACTAGTTTTGGTACATTGCACTTTTTCATCCGAGTTTAAAAGTGTGAGATTAAACACCGAGTTATGCTAGTTGGAGTTTGCTGTTTAGTTCCTGTCATTACATAATGTAAAATTTCAGATTTTATTTACATTATTGGCAGAGAATTCTTTTCACTGTACTTTATGTAGAAAGTATGAGAGGACGATAGTTTGTATTGTTTGTAAGAAGCAGAGTGGCGCAGTGGGAGCGTGCTGGGCCCATAACCCAGAGGTCGGTGGATCGAAACCACTCTCTGCTAAACTTTTAATTTTTTTTTCTTTTCCTCTGACTTTGTCGTTTCACGGATTTCAATCCGGAATCGCTGTAGTAGATGAATACTGTTATTCCATATTAAAATCGAGTCAATTATTACTAACGATAACGGAACTGTTTCTAATCGATGGTTGTTATTTTGATTGTTCGTTGTAAAACTTGAACCTTCGCAAAGTGTAGTGAACGTGACATGAAACAAAATTGGAGTTTTAGGGTTGATGGTAGGCGAACTTTGCCGCAGGATCGTACAGTAAATGTATAAAAAATATCATTCAGTTTTAAATTTTAAATAATTTTCCGTTCATTGCTCATTTAAAAGCTTTAAAAATATGTATTTCTTTTAAATACACTTAACGTTTATGTACTTTATTATGGTTAAGAATTATATTTGTGAAACCAGGACATACGTAAGTAACAATAGATAGTGTGACATACTAAAAGTGCAAAATTAAATTTTAAAAATGTGACATAAACTTTACAAGTTTTTCAACAGTTACAGAATAATACTGAAGGTATCAAATACATCGCCTTCAGACATACCGCAAATAACATGAACAGGTTTAAAGCAGGTACTCCTTTAAACAGTCGTTCTCTATGTGTACGTTATAATAAGATATACCGTAATAAATATTTGTTACATAATGAAAATTCGTGCAATAACTAGCCTAGTGGGTATTAAATGGATAAAAGAACGGAAATATAATAACTTATATATTTTGTTCTGTTTTCTCTTATGTAATGGCCGGATCACATCCGTTTAAATTGCGACATATGCGCACAAGGCGTCTGCAGAGTAGACAGATAACAGTACTTGCACCTCCCTGATATCGTATAAATTCCATAAATTATAATCGTAAAAGTGATTATATTACCTTAAACATTCGACCCTGGGATACTTCATCTGTGTTTTTGTATCCTTGGGGTAATTCATTGTTAATTTAGAATACGATTTCTACTTTTCTTATTCATACACATTATCTTTGGTCACAATAGGTTGAGGGGTTTGATGGGATAAGGCAATGAAAAAACAGGGAGATCTTTAAGTAGAATGTTTTTACGAGAGGCCATGTATGAGAAAACTAGCCCTATTTAGATGTCAGGAACGTAAAGAAACCCTAGAGAAAGCCACGCAAGCAGTTTGCTTGTAAGGCGCAAACACGTGACCAACCACTAGTGTTCAGTGCTTTTAGCTTCTGTGTCACCGGTGTGCGTGGCACAGCTTATTCTGCATCATTTAAACCGGGCGTTACTGACTCACGACGTTAGACGAGGATCGAAACTTAAGAGAATCCACGAAATTGATATCAGAATGATTAAAATAGATTGCGATTTCCTTTTGTGAAATGCAAACTAATCAAAAATTCATCATTATAAACCGATATCAATTGTGTAAATTTTTAAAATTAAAATTTATGAATTTCATTAACAACATTTGTAAATTTACAGTACACTTTATTAAGGTACAGGCCAGGTCTAAAAATATACGAATGGCTCCTACTTTGCTTGATTAAATAAAAGCAAAAAGATTGGTTCGTAAAATTTATTAATAATGTTAATTAATTTTACATTGTTTTTCGCGTTATCACAGAAAAAAGTCAAAAATACGGTTCGTATTATTACTGTGTTCGCAACAATCTTAAACGTAACCGAGACTAATAATTAAATCTAATAAAAAGCATTTAAAAATATAAAATTACATTAAAATAAAATGCATTTCATCTATTTCTAACATACAAATTCTTCTCTCTTTGTTTCCACGTTTCTATGAATAAAGAAGCTACGTACGCATCAGCATCGGGTAAAATCTTAATGCTGTAATCACCGTTCAGTTCTTCATCTGGAATTGAAACAATCATTTCATACGAGTAACGTTTTTTCAGGAGTAGAGGTTCCGTTATGCAAGCAAAACCATAATTATCGCATTTAAGATTCAGAACTTTCAAACACTTACTGTTAGAAGCGAGGCAAAAATGAAGTAAGATATTAACATCCCCCTGTTTAACGTGACTTATTGGAAGGTGTAAGTAGGTGAAAAAGCAATCTTCATTCACTAATACGATACATTCGAAAAAATCGGCACGTTTCACTAATCTACTAATATTATATCCGAATTGTTCGCGGTTTTTATAGCAATATAAGAATCCACAATGTTCACCCTTCCTATTAGTTGTCACACAACTTAATTTCTCAGATGTTATAGTCGCTACATCGCCTGTGTGATGGTAACTACGAATGGCACGAATCTCTGTTGAAGTTAAGATGTTCGAGTTAACAACAATAGATTCAAAGTCACTAGAAGCCATTGCCAAAAATCTAATATTGGGAAGGAAAGGCTTTATAATGAGACGACAGTTTACGCAAATATCTGCAATTATTTTGTGCTTCTTACACTTCACTTCCACCCATTTCTGTATACCTTGAAACAAATCAATTTCATTTATCGAATTATATATTCTTCTGGAAACGAGCCTGTTGATTGTTGTATCATTACAATGGTAAAAGTCGTCAGTTTTAAGTATCTGCAATAAAAATTCACTGAATATCCTCCAGCAGTAAAACTGAATAAATTCGTCCGCTTGTTTGCACGCAAAATCGTGTATTTGACAAACGTTTCCAATCTTGACGTGATTAGTAAGATAATTTCGGCAAATTTTACCTAAATTTTCAATATTATATTTTTCACTCTCTTTATATAATTCTATTGCATCCTGTACTGAAACCAATGGAACCTGTCGTTTTGACAAATACCTGTGGAAATAAAATAAAAATTAACTTGCAGTCCAATTAGTTAGCCTCACGCAAACTGTCCAATTACGAATATACAACAAATTCTACGAGAAAGTAAGAAATAAAATTTCAACTTACGCCACAAATTGATTAAATAAGTTCCTCCGAATTGGCAGTTTAATACTACTTTTATTCGACCATGAATCGTTCTTTATATAAGTAGTTATTGAGCTCAGCTTTGATACAATGTTCTTTGATTCAAAAGCACGTTCACCATCCAAACATTCAACAATTATGACGTCCTCCGCAACATTATTAACCAAATTATCCACTATACAATCAACTTCTTTGATACTATTTTCGTCCCTTCTGCCAATTTGATCCACAAAATTTACATTACATTTAGGCCCACACACGAGATTATTATATAATTTATCGACATTTTCGTCTGAATCGTCTTTTATGGTTCCCTCATCCCAATCCACGTATTCTTCTGTAGTATCCGAAAAGTCCATTCCTTCGACATCAGTTTCGTTAATTCTTCCAACAGCACTTTTTGCATCCACATCCATACGTTATAAATAAATGCAAGGAGTGGATTTTTAATCTCTTTAGCAGAAAACACAACACTAACCACAATGATTTGCCATTAATTCTAAAGTCTTTTTAACGTTGCCAGAGTTCTTGCCTTACTTAACTTCTTACTCCTTTACATGTTTCAAGTTACGAATTATTAATACTATAAGATGCCTTTGTGGTGTACAGATCAAAGTGCCATCTGCTGGACATATTTAGAAATAATTTTGACACCTTACTGGAAGCTCGCGTAATTCTATACATTTTCATGCTACTCTCTTTCCAGTACATCGAAAATTCTCTGAAATATCGAATTTTAAATGTTTACTTACGATTGGAGCACCCAAACTACCCGGATTCTCTATTGTGTGTCTGGCCNTGAAACCAGGACATACGTAAGTAACAATAGATAGTGTGACATACTAAAAGTGCAAAATTAAATTTTAAAAATGTGACATAAACTTTACAAGTTTTTCAACAGTTACAGAATAATACTGAAGGTATCAAATACATCGCCTTCAGACATACCGCAAATAACATGAACAGGTTTAAAGCAGGTACTCCTTTAAACAGTCGTTCTCTATGTGTACGTTATAATAAGATATACCGTAATAAATATTTGTTACATAATGAAAATTCGTGCAATAACTAGCCTAGTGGGTATTAAATGGATAAAAGAACGGAAATATAATAACTTATATATTTTGTTCTGTTTTCTCTTATGTAATGGCCGGATCACATCCGTTTAAATTGCGACATATGCGCACAAGGCGTCTGCAGAGTAGACAGATAACAGTACTTGCACCTCCCTGATATCGTATAAATTCCATAAATTATAATCGTAAAAGTGATTATATTACCTTAAACATTCGACCCTGGGATACTTCATCTGTGTTTTTGTATCCTTGGGGTAATTCATTGTTAATTTAGAATACGATTTCTACTTTTCTTATTCATACACATTATCTTTGGTCACAATAGGTTGAGGGGTTTGATGGGATAAGGCAATGAAAAAACAGGGAGATCTTTAAGTAGAATGTTTTTACGAGAGGCCATGTATGAGAAAACTAGCCCTATTTAGATGTCAGGAACGTAAAGAAACCCTAGAGAAAGCCACGCAAGCAGTTTGCTTGTAAGGCACAAACACGCGACCAACCACCAGTGTTCAGTGCTTTTAGCTTCTGTGTCACCGGTGTGCGTGACACAGCTTATTCTGCATCATTTAAACCGGGCGTTACTGACTCACGACGTTAGACGAGGATCGAAACTTAAGAGAATCCACGAAATTGATATCAGAATGATTAAAATAGATTGCGATTTCCTTCTGTGAAGTGCAAACTAATCAAAAATTCATCATTATAAACCGATATCAATTGTGTAAATTTTTAAAATTAAAATTTATGAATTTCATTAACAACATTTGTAAATTTACAGTACACTTTATTAAGGTACAGGCCAGGTCTAAAAATATACGAATGGCTCCTACTTTGCTTGATTAAATAAAAGCAAAAAGATTGGTTCGTAAAATTTATTAATAATGTTAATTAATTTTACATTGTTTTTCGCGTTATCACAGAAAAAAGTCAAAAATACGGTTCGTATTATTACTGTGTTCGCAACAATCTTAAACGTAACCGAGACTAATAATTAAATCTAATAAAAAGCATTTAAAAATATAAAATTACATTAAAATAAAATGCATTTCATCTATTTCTAACATACAAATTCTTCTCTCTTTGTTTCCACGTTTCTATGAATAAAGAAGCTACGTACGCATCAGCATCGGGTAAAATCTTAATGCTGTAATCACCGTTCAGTTCTTCATCTGGAATTGAAACAATCATTTCATACGAGTAACGTTTTTTCAGGAGTATAGGTTCCGTTATGCAAGCAAAACCATAATTATCGCATTTAAGATTCAGAACTTTCAAACACTTCATGTTAGAAGCGAGGCAAAAATGAAGTAAGATATTAACATCCCCCTGTTTAACGTGACTTATTGGAAGGTGTAAATAGGTGAAAAAGCAATCTTCATTCACTACTACGTCACATTCGAAAAAATCGGCACGTTTCACTAATCTACTAATATTATATCCGAATTCTTCGCGGTTTTTATAGCAATATAAGAATCCACAATGTTCACCCTTCCTATTAGTTGTCACACAACTTAATTTCTCAGATGTTATAGTCGCTACATCGCGTGTGTGATGGTAACTTCGAATGGCACGAATCTCTGTTGAGGTTAAGATGTTCGAGTTAACAACAATAGATTCAAAGTCACTAGAAGCCATTGCCAAAAATCTGATATTGGGAAGGAAAGGTTTTATAATGAGACGACAGTTTACGCAAATATATGCAACTATTTCGTGCTTCATACACTTTATTAAAACCCATTTATGTATACCTTGAAACAAATCAATTTCATTTATCGAATTATATATTCTTCTGGAAACGAGTCTGTTGATTGTTGTTTCTTTACAATGGTAAAAGTCGTCAGTTTTAAGTATCTGCAATAAAAATTCACTGAATATCCTCCAACAGTAAAATTGAATAAATTCGTCCGCTTGTTTGCACGCAAAATCGTGTATTTGACAAACGTTTCCAATCTTGATGTGATTAATAAGATAATTTCGGCAAATTTTACCTAAATTTTCAATATTATATTTTTTACTCTCTTTATATAATTCAATTGCATCCTGTATTGAAACCAATGGGACCTGTCGTTTTGACAAATACCTGTGGAAATAAAATAAAAATTAACTTGCAGTCCAATTAGTTAGCCTCACGCAAACTGCCCAATTACGAATATACAACGATTTCTACGAGAAAGTAAGAAATAAAATTTCAACTTACGCCACGAAATGACTAAATAATTTCTTCCGAATAGGCAGTTTAATACTACTTTTATTCGACCATGAAATGTTCTTTATATAAGGAGTTATTCTGCTCAGCTTTGATACAATGCTCTTTGATTCAAAAGCTCGTTCACCACCCAAACATTCGACAATTATGACGTTCTCGGCAACATTATTAACCAAATTATCCATTATACATTCAACTTCTCTGATACTATTTTCCTGCGTTCTGCCAATTTTATCCGCAAAATTTACATTACATTTAGGCCCACACACGATATTATTATATAATTTATCGACGTCTTCGTCTGAATCGTCTTCTATGGTTCCCTCATCCCAATCCACGTATTCTTCAGTAGTATCCGAAAAGTCCATTCCTTCGACATCAGTTTCGTTAATTCCTCCAACAGCACTTTTGACATCTATATCCATACGTTATAACTAAATGCAAGAAGTGGAATTTTAATCTCTTTAACAGATAATACACAACACTAACCACAATGATTTGCCATTAATCCTAAAGTCTTTTTAACGCTGTCAGAGTTCTTTTCTTACTTAACTTCTTACTCATTTACATGTTTCAAGTTACGAATTATTAATACAATAAGATGCCTTTGTGGTATACAGATCAAAGTGCCATCTGCTGGACATATTTAGAATTAATTTTGACACCTTACTAGAAGCTCGCGTAATTCTATACATTTTCATGATACTCTCTTTACAGTACATCGAAAATTCTCTGAAATATCGAATTTTAAATGTTTACTTACAATTGGAGCACCCAAACTACCCGGATTCTCTATTGTGTGTCTGGCCGAACTCTCGATGTACAGTACATCGAAAAAAGGCTTTCCCAGTGTCCACAGATAAATGTCATTAACAGACAATTAATCGCATGCCATTAAGCTGTTTATTGTAAATAGCAACGACAAAACTCAAAGATTAAAAATACTTTTTAGTAATTTTCACCTTATAAAACTGGAGATAATGTTGATAATCAAACGAACAGCCCAGTTATATTTTGAATAGTGTATAATTATTATTAAAGTTATGCTGCATCTACTTTAGAAGAAAATTTATTTTGAACCGAGGCGTACACACAACACTTTCCACAATAACTGATTACACCGACAACACATTGTAATGAGTAACAATGGGACAATGGACAAATATCATTCATTCCTTTTATATTTGCAGAATAGGCTGTCATGAATTTTCTGTTTGCTGATAATGGAATTGTAAAGGTCAACCCACATGATAAAAAAGAAACGTGCCCCAATATATGGGCGCTAATCTATAGAGCTGCATTAAAACTTTTTGAGAAGAAAGATGTTGTTTCCTGAATTTTTACTTTACGGATTATTATTTAAAACTAACAAACTTTCATACTACAAGTCCAATTATAATTTATACTGATAAAGTTGTTTAATTGTGGCATTTCCAATGACTACATTCACATCTGTCAATTTATACTTTGTCCGTTAAAATCAGAATTATTATTGTTCTATAGAGCTCGTGATGTGAGTCTAAGAATCTCGTTTCGTGAGTTAATAAAATTTGTTATTACAGCTGAATAATTCGTAGAAGATATCATGGTTTGGAGACGAATAAAATACTAGAATACGAAATAGTTTACCTGATTCGAACTTGAGTTAAGACATTATGATTGTTCGTGCGAGATTCACGTCATTTTCACCGGTATTTAAACAAAAATGCCCCAGAGACTGATCCTCTTAACTCTTCTCTACGGCGCTCTTGGTAGAAGTCGAAAATTTAAAAACATTTTTATTTTTGTAAGAATAAATTTGTTTGAATTGTCATTACACCGAAATAACTACAATCGGTAAATGACAATATTCTTTTTGTTGTTGTTAAGGCCGAATGCAGGCACTATACCTATCTACATGACTAATTTTTAGGGTAGAGAGAGTTTTCGGGTGTAGGTATTCACACAATAATGAAACCAGAAGATAAAAAATAACATGTTTATTCTTATTTTATCTTCATCTCGTATAAGGATCATGATTTTTATTAATGTAAACAGTAAATTTGCAGGAAAAAACTTCATATTATATATCATCATTTCGTATTAAAAAGATTATAAATAAAATTGTATATATACTTTAAATATTGATCAAGTTTTCTTGGTTTTTTTAATTTTTTCTAATAACTTTTCATATTTTTCAATAATTTCTCTTAATTCTCATGATTACAATATACAATTATGATATTACACTATACAACATTAACAGTAATTTCCAACATTATCTAAAATTAACAATAATACTCGTTTTATGGAAAATTGATACAAATTTATTACCAATCTATACAAATAACATTTTGCTACAATATATTTTCTTGTATTTAATTTTGATGTGCAGTTCATTCAAAATGGGACTTAAAAACAGTAAATTCTGATGTCGATCTGAACAAATTTATAAGTGATTTATAAGTTAACATTACTTTTCATCAACACATTATAATGCTATTAC